AATGACAGGAATAAGAAAACAGCTTCAGCAATCACTAAGACACAAAGATTAACTTGATTTCAAACATGGCTGCTTTTTTATAATTGCACAGCTGCCCGACATTTAGAGAGAACAAGTTAGCTAAGCAAAACGATCCTATAGCTAAATCATTACCCAGATTTCTGATTATACAATTCAGTGCACTAAAGAAAAAAAAATCTGTACAGTATCCTGAATAAATTCAAACCAAGTACCACACTGGAGAAATGCTGGATGAAAGGAAATTGAAATCAAATAACTGTTTTAAGGATTAGGGAGGAAGTCTTACGGGAGAAAGTGTTCAACCCTTTTATTGGACACATCTGCTTTTCTCACAAATCTATTCAGAGATTTCAGGGAGAAAAGGAACAAAGTACGAGTTATACTGAGAAAGGCCCAGCAAGGAAAAAATTAAGCACCTTTTTCCAAATAGTAGGTCCGCAGGTCAGGTCAGAGAAGGCATGTGAGACAGTTAATACCATGTTTGTTTGTTTCTATAAGAAAAGTCTAGTGTATACTTACTTGTCATCATTCACTCTAATTATCTCCTTCATTTTGGGTGGATTAATGTTTTTGTTTTAAACTTCTGTAAAAGATTTATTGCTCTAACATGAAATTATAAAATACATTCAGCACCAAAAGCTAAATTATGGCCATATACTTTATAGAAATAATTTATAGAAATAATTGCCTGCTCAAGGAGCCACCTATGTATGAAATGTTATAATCATTCCAGATGAAAAGTCAATAAAGCAAACATCCACTTGCTATTTAATAAAAGTAGAATCCCATCAAAAAGGGAAAAGCTATAACTCTCAAAGAATGCAAATTCCCAAACACAGATTTTCCCTGTATTTACAATATTTCCCTGTAATATTTGCTTCCATAATTCAATCTAACCAAAATTTCTATATTAACACTTCACTCACCTAAAGTATTCTAATGTAGCCTTAAATAGAAACTACAACCTCATATATTCAGATTTTCAATTAACAAAGTTTTATTCTTTCTTAGATTAACTGGATAAATGCGAAGGAACAGGCAACAGAATTATCCCTGAGCATTATAAAGCATGTAGAATAATACATAGTTTTACAAAATAAAAATAAAACCCACCCCTAATTATACTTTTGAATTATCTAGAATTGTGCAGAAAAGAAATTTCAGTCAAAATGTCAGATACTCCAGCAAAAGCAAATGAAGCACTGCAAATGATTAGGAAAGAGGCTAAAAGTAAAACCACAAATATAATACTATACTTTATATAATCTTTTGCTGTGGGTGCACTAAAAATACTGAACAAACTTTTGTCTTACTGTAAGAGAAAGAAAACCTGGAGAAGTTGCAAAACCCAACACCAAAAGTGATTAAGGGACTTACTGAAGGATTCCTCAGTTTAAGCATCTGGGCTTAAATTTTGCTTAGAAGTAAACACAACTTGAACCTGGGTCCCCCCATTCTCGTCCAGAATCTTTACTGCAAATCCCGCTTTTATTGTATTTATCTTTATAATGTATAAGAAAAGAGATAATCTAGGACCACAATTTACTTCCCAGCAAACTGGAAAATTATGAATGTTTTCCAGAGTGCGTTTTCTTTTAGACAAGTTCTACTCAGTGCATTAATCAATACTTCAAATCACGGCTAAAATGAATTCTTCAATAGTATTTATAACAATAGAGTTACAAGATAACCCTGTCTCCTAGAAACTTCTGTACAGGAGGGGAAGTAATCTGTCCGTGTGTTAATAATTTACGAAAGAACAAATAACTATATTCGATATTATATGTTTGTAATTCATATAACTGAAATAAGGTCTTTCAGCAGACACGAATGCATTGGGTAGACTTCCACAGAAGGAAACCACGTATAGTACAGACAAAATCTACACAAAGGTGAGAACAGAGTCATTCTTCTTTTATATTCCTCAAGTTTATTAGAATTATTACAACTAAACGGTTGTCTTATAAGGATTTGGGATTTGAAGTGATTTCTGTTGGCACAGTTGTCATCATTTTATAGGAAGTTTTCTGGGATTACTAGAAAAGTCCTGTAGGCTTACAGATGACTTTTTAGAAAGGCCTTTTGCTGCTTCTATCTGGCTGAATGAAGTAAAAAATAAATGATCCTTTCAAAATAAAATGTGTAGCACATTAAGGAAGCTTCATGTAAATATAGTCACTAATGATGCAGATAAATGACAACTCGGCCACATTTCAAACATTCAAACTGAGTATGTCTCTAGAAGAGAGAAATTATTTACATTCTACTTAATCCCTTCTTGTTCCAAATGCAGATATAGGGCAAAATTTGGAAAGCAAGACTAGATACAAACAGGCTGAATTCAGATAATGTTTAAGTCTCAGTCTTTAATTAGTTCACTTTATATTTACTGATTCACTGCATAATTCATATGTCCTTTCAATGAAAACAGAAGAGGGGAATTAAATGTGAAAGTGGCTTAAAACACACACACACACACACACACACGTAACAACAGTACATGTAAACAATCTAATCTGAAAGCGAATGAAGAGTTTGAACCTATGAGGTTTTAAGCAGCTAACCCATTAATTTTACCCAAAGCGATTTTGGAAGTTTCTGTCAAAATTATTGTATGATCATTGACATGTTATCATTTTTTAAAAACGAACATTTAGCACTGAGATCATTATCCCTGTCACTTAAAAAGTAAAATGCTAATTGTGAGAAATTTCTGTTTGAAAGGTAAAATACTAACATTTGTGAGACACAGGAAAAATTATGCCCAGCAGTATCAGCTGATACCCTGCATTCACTATTGTTAATGCCAGGGAGGAATAGCTGAGTTGCTCACACATCACACGACACATCACAATGCCTGATTTAGCCATCATACTAAGTCATGGTTGGTTTAAACATGGTTTAGTGAATAAACCAGAACTGGATGGATTAAGCCAAAAAACAACCAAAACACATTATTGCTTAGTGCAATGTGAAATGCCAGTCAGCCTGCATTCATGTTATAAGGCAAAATAGCAGAATACGGTTAGCAGCCTACCAGCTTTCAGCAGTATGTATCAGATTTGTTCATAGTAGGAAGCAATCAGTACGGTACTTCAATCATCCAATTTTTCCCTAATCTATTTTAACATTTATGCCAGTGTTGTCCAAACTTGGCCACTTTAAGATGAGTGGACTTCAACTCCCAGAATTCCCCCCGCCCGCACCCCGGGTCCGGCGGGTTTGGGGGAGGAAGTACGACCTCCTCTAAGTTGGGAAGAGAGAGGCCACGCA